CATATGCCCTGACCGGGAATCGAACTGGCAAGCTCTTGGTGCATGGGTTGATGCTCAATCACTGAGCAACACTGGCCGGGACAGGGCTCATCTTTTAATTCTCCCTTTCATCTCTCAACATTCATTTCATTACAATCATGTCCAATATAATATATCTCAGTTATTTTCTGGGGGGGGGTTGGCGGTTTTTTTTATTTCTCCATTTTTTGTTCAGATAGAGTGGGAGGGAAAGAGAAAGAGAGAGAGAAACATCAACGTGAAAGGAACACATCAAGTGGCTGCCTCCCACACGACCCAACCAGGGTCGGGGACAAACTGCAACCAAGGTACGTGCCCTTAGTGGGAAACGAACCCGGGTCTCTCCCGACCGCAAGCTGATGCTCTAACTGCTGAGCCAAACCGGCCAGGGCTATTTTCTGTTTTTTGTTTTTGTTTTTTTATCCTCACCTGAGGACATTTTTTGATATTTTGTTCAGATAGAGTAGGAGGGAGAGAGAGAGATCTCTCTGGACCACAGGCCGACGCTCTAACTGCTGAGCCAAACCGGCCAGGGCTATTTTCCATTTTTAAAACTTTGATTTACACTGTCTTGGTACTCATCTTGGCTACTCTTAGGTCTCGTAACTTATCTTGCTTCTAGTCTCCCTTAGCCCCAGTCATCCATCTTCCACATTGCTACCAGACCTTTGCCTAAAATCCTTTGCTCTTAGGAAAAAATCTAAGCTTCTTGATAAAGAATTAAAAAGCGCCATTGTCAGTTTGGCTCAGCGGTTAGAGAGTCGACCCACGGACCAGAGAGTCCAGGGTTCGGTTCCCGCTAAGGGCATGTACCTCGATTGCAGTTTGTCCCTGGACCTGGTTAGGGTCGTATGGGTGGCAGCCAGTTGATGTGTCTCTCTCACGTTGATGTTTCTCTCTCTCTCTCTCTCTCTTTCCCCCTCTCCCTCCTGTTGTATCTGCAGATAAATGCAGAAATGTCCTCGGGTGAGGATTAAAAAAAAACACAAAAACAAAAACTGAAAAGCTTTCAATCTGGTCTCAGTCTATTTCTTGGGTGATTTTCTGCTTTATATCTCATACACCTTCCTCTTGCTCACACCGTCTGCCCCCAACACATAGACTTTGTGTTCGTACCTCTTTTTTGTTTATTTTTGCTGTTCCCTTTGCCTATAACAATCACCCTCATTTTACTTTTTTTTCTTTCCTTTATTGATTTTAGAGAGAGAAGAAGTGAGGGGGGGAGAGAGATAGAAACATTGATTGGCCGCTTCCTGCATGCCCCCAACTGGTGATTGGGCCCACAACCTGGGCATGTGTCCTGACTGAGAATTGAACCGGTGACCTCTTGGTGCATGGGTTGACACTCAACCACTGAGCCACACCGGCCGGACTCCTTTTACTTATTTTCAGCATGCTTATCTTTGAGACAATTTGAAGATTCCTTTCTCTGTGAAACCATCTGGCCATCGTTCTTCCCTTGTCTTTTATGCCTTGGACAGAATTAGCTTATTTGATCTTTCTGCTTATTTAGCTACTTGTTCATACCCCTGATCTGATACATATTTTTCTGGTTGCTTATTGATTTATTTTTCCTTTCCTTTCTAGACTTGAAAGGCAGGAATTACATATTATTGCAGGCCCAGCACCTAATGAAATACCTTAAGACTGGGACCTAAGAGGTATTTTCTGAATTGAATGAATAAACAACTCACTTTAGCCTTATAGTCACTGGGGTCAAAGTTCAATTATTGGGCCATTGCAGACTTTATTTTTTGTAATTTTGTTTTATTTTTTTTATTGATTTGAGAGAGGGAAAGGGAGAGGGAGAGAGATAGAAGCATTGATGAGAGAGAACATGTATTGGCTGTCTCCTGCATGCCCCACGCTTGGGATCTGGCTCACAACCTGGGCATGTGCCCTGACCAAGAATCAAAACGGGGACCTCTTGGTGCATGCATGGGTCGATGCTCAGCTCCACTGAGCCACACCCTCCAGGCCCATTGCAGACTTTAATCAGGAGATTCTGATGAAGATCTTTGTGTATGTTTATCAAGGAAGACTTTATTCCTAAACTGAGGTCCTTTCTCAAGACTTTCCTAATCCCTTAGCTCTCAGATTTTTACTCCTTCTATCACTATCTCAACTCTAAACTCTGCCCAGAGCAGGTATACTTCCCGTAAACCGACTGGAATGTTTATCTTTGAGACAAGTAAGTCATCCAAGGCTTTGGGTGAGGAGACTCGGCCTTCCTGCCTGTTCCTTACCTTGTTCCATATGGAGGAGATAGTCTCCTGAGACAATCCAGACACAAGAAGTTATTTGACCTTCAACTCCTTCCCCCACCCAGGACTATCTGATCTGGGAGCTAGTGAAGGAAGATAGCTGTAACTACATTCCAATCATCTCATAGGCAAGGTCCTGCAGACTCCCAAAAGGGATGGGCAGCTGTCCATCTGCCTCTAGCCCTCATCATTACTCCAGGTTTCACTTCACAACTATTGGAGCTTTTACTTTCCTTTCATTCGGACTCCCCAGGAGAAAGGCTCCAGAATCAACAAATCAATACTCAGACCTTCATCCCTTGTCTAAGCCAGACCTTTTCCAGAAGGGGTTTCCAGGCAGCCACCAGGGGCACAGAAGGCTAGGGAAGCAGGAAACTGGTCCCCTCTGACTCTAATTCCTGTGCGAGCCAGCTGCTCACACCTGTGGAAATTATCGCTGAGTCTCTGAGTGTGGTAGAGTCGGACTTCTGTCTGTCTATTGCAGCACAAGCTATTGTTCTCTCCTTCCATCTCTATACTGACATTCCCTCTACATACCCTGTGTTCCCTTTCACATTTTTACAGTCCCTGTAGCTTAATAGATATAGGCGGTGGCCATGACTGGGTTATTCAGTTAGTTAGAACATCGTTCTGATACACCAAGGTTGTGGGTTCAATCCCTCCCGGGTCAGGGCACATACAACAATCAACCCATGAATGCGTAAGTGAAAAATCAAATCGATGTTTTTCTCTCTCTCTCTCTTTCAAATCAATCAATAAATATATTTTTTAAATAGCCTTGGCCGGCAGCCAATCAAAGTTTCTCACATTGATGGTTCTAGCTCTCTCTCTTCCTCTCTATCTAAAAAAAAAAAAAATCAATAAGCCAGGCCGGTGTGGTTCAGTGGCTAGAGCATCAGCCCTGGGACCAAAGGGTCTCGGGTTCAATTCCCGGTCAATTCCCATGTACCTGGGTTGCAAATTCAATGCCCACCCTGGTCGGGGCATGTGCAGGAGGCAGTCAACTGATGTCTCTCTCTCGTATCCATGTTTCTCTCTCTCCCTCCCTTCCTTCCACTCTAAAAATCAATGGAAAAAATATCCTCAGGTGATGATTTAAAAAAAAGCATAGGAGATGGATACTAGTCATCAGAAGAGCCTCTTGCGGCCCCTCCCTACGCCCTGTGTTTCTCCTATGACTGCTGACCTCTGGTGGTGATAGTTTGAACTGTACCCTTCCCTTTCAAGTTAGTGGCCTGCTGGCAAGGTAATGATGTATTTTTCTCAACAATCCAAATTCAAATATTCAAATACTGTATTAAATGGATATATATATTTTTATCCTCACCCGAGGACAGTTTCTCCATTTTTTGTTCAGATAGAGTGGGGGAGAGAGAGAGAGAGAGAGAGAGAGAGAGAGAGAGAGAGAGAAACATCAACATGAAAGGGACACATCGAGTGGTTGCCACCCACACGACCCAACCAGGGCCGGGGACAAACTGCAACCAAGGTATGTGCCCTTAGCAGGAACCGAACCTGGGTCTCTCAGGACCGCAGGCCGACGCTCTAACCGCTGAGCCAAACAGCCCAGGGCATTAAATGGAAATACTTTTTATTACTGAGTTTTATTTTTGTTTTTAGGTATTATGGCATAATGCAAAGAACAGGGCCTGGGCTTTGGAGTCAGATTTACTTAGGTTCAAATCACCTTGCACAAGTTATCTGAATTCAGCTTTCATACCTATAAAGTGAAGATAATAAGTTTAATGGGAGAATTAGACGAGGTGCTCAATAAAAGTTTGTTACCTTCTCAATAATAGTGATTTGTTCAGTATGTGACTCAAAGTGATTTTAAAAATTCTGGTAACATAAATTAACCATTATGCCACTTTCAATTAAAAAAAATTTTAATTCTGAGAAATTTTATTTTATTTTATTTTTTTTATTTTTTTATCCTCATCCGAGGACATTTTTCCATTTTTTGTTCAGATAGAGTGGGGGAAGGGGAGAGAGAAACATCGACGTGAAAGGGACACATAGAGTGGTTGCCACCTGCACAACCCACCCAGGGCTGGGGACAAACTGCAACCAAGGTATATGCCCTTAGCAGGAACCGAACCTGGGTCTCTCTGGACCACAGGGCAATGCTCTAACTGCTGAGCCAAACCGGCCAGGGCTGAGAAATTTTATATAACTGACTTCTGATTCTTTAATTTGGAAAATGAGGTCAACTCTAGTATGGACTGTTGAACCCTCTCTCTGCCCAGGGAGCTGTGGATCTGAGACCTGAAAAGGGTTAGATAAGATTAGGAAGGATCTTGGGCACAGCTGAATGGTTTTGTACACTTGACCTCACTTTAGTTTCTTACCTGACGCATCCAGTACTTTTCTCCAGGGTCTGCAAAGGGCAAAGGTTTGAAGTTAAGCATCACTGGGTTTTCAGCTAGGCCTCCAAGGCCCCCTCCTCCCACTTGCAGAGAAAAGAGGAGGTGGCTGAATAGAGGAGGATAGATATGAGATTGGCTCTCTGCTCCTCTCTCTCTCTCCTTGTTTTTCCCCACACCCATCCTCTCCCCCACAGCAGCCATCTCCCCCACAGAGACTGGAAAGGGAGAAGGGAGGAGTTGGGGACTGAGGGATCAGAAGCTCCACGGTGCCCTGTATCTGAAGGAAGCTCTAGTCAGGGGCAGCTGTGCTAGCTCATGCCCCCCACCTCCTGCTGTTGCCTCCTTCTAAATGATGCTGGGTACTCTGGGACTTTGGGCACTGCTTCCCGCAGCTGTGCAAGGTAAGTGTCTACACTGCAGGGAAGAGCAGGGTCTTTCCATTCCCATTGAGAAAAGGGGCACTTGAAGCAGCAGCCATACCTTTGGAAGAGTGGTGAGTGGGGTGGGTGAGTGAGGGTGAAGGGTAGAGCCATGTGTCCCCCTGGTGGGGGTCAGGTTCCAGGCCTCTGCTGACACTGTTTCCTTCTATGGCTTTACCATGCTGGCCCTGGGATATGAAACATGTTTCTCTCTCCTTTTAGCTTCTATTTTTTACCCCTTCATTCACTTTCATCTTGAACCCTTCCTCCTCCTTACTCTGGGTCACAGCACCCCCAAGCAGGCGGACCTGTGTGTTCTTTGAGGCCCCCGGAGTGCGGGGAAGCACAAAGACGCTGGGGAAGCTGCTAGATGCAAGACCAGGGCCTCCGCGGGTTATCCGCTGCCTCTACAGCCGCTGCTGCTTTGGGATCTGGAACCTGACCCAAGACCAGGCACAGGTGGAAATGCAAGGTGAATGGCAAAGCATACAGCAGGTGATAGCTAGGGTGGGAAACAGGCACATCCTCGGGTGGGGGATGGCGGCTGAGGGAGAGGAGGTGAAATGGAATGTGTGGAGGGAAAGAAAAGCCCATAGGAAATGGAAGGGTTGCCTCTGAGAAAGGATTTATCCTCTCTCTCCCCAGACTCCATTATGCTTTCTCTCTCTCGTTCTCCATCTCTCTTTCTCTCTCTCTCTTAATCTTTTTCTCTCCTCTTTTCCTAATCCCATCCTATTAGGATGCCGAGACAGTGATGAGCCAGGCTGTGAGTCCCCCCACTGTGACCCGAGCCCCAGAGCTCAGCCCAGCTCCAGCTCCATTCTCTTCACCTGCTCCTGTGGCACTGACTTCTGCAATGCCAATTACAGCCATCTGCCTCCTCTGGGGAGCCCTGGGACTCCTGGTTCCCAGGGTCCCCAGGTCATCTCAGGTAGCCCCATGGGATGCTGAACCTGGGTGGAGGCTGGAGCCCAGGTTAGAATGAGAGGTAGAACCAGGGCCAGTTCTCACCCTACACACACACACACACCCGTTTCAAGCTTCACTCCTCCTGGCCTTGAGAAGTTGGTTGCCCTGGTGACTAGGAGATAATGGGGCTTGTGACCAGGGTGGGGGTAGGTTGAGGAGAGGGAGAGGAGCAGAGAGTGGATTTGGGGCAGGGTTCATTCAACCTGCATTCTTGCCCTAATGTCCAGGCGAGTCCACCTGGATGGTGCTGGTGCTGCTGGGTCTGTTTCTCCTCCTGCTGCTGCTGGGCAGCATCATCTTGGGTACTATTCTGCCCTATCCCTCCCTTGTGACCCCAAGACACTGACCCAAAGCTCTGACCCCTGTCCAGGTTTCCCTGACCCCATGGTTCTAAGATCTTTACAACCTGACTCCCATTACCTCCCACAAAGTCCCTTCCCTGTCTCCATGCCTGTGCATTCTGCACTCTGATTCTAAGGCTCTTCTTTATCCCAGCCCTACTACAGCGAAAGGCCTGCAGAGTGAGAGGTGGGCCAGAGCCAGAGCCAGAGCCAGACTCAGGCAGGAACTGGAATGCGGAGCTGCCTGAGCTGCCTGAACTGTGCTTCTCCCAGGTGCCCAGGGAGGGAGGGAAGAGTCCTCTAGGCAATCCCAGAGGGTGTGCTGGGGAGGAAGCCTAGTCCTAGTACTAGCTGAGACCCACACCCAATACTGTATCCCACCAGGTAATCCGAGAAGGAGGTCATGCAGTAGTGTGGTCTGGGCAGCTTCAAGGCGAGCTGGTAGCCATCAAGGTCTTCCCCCTGAGGGCAGTAGCCCAGTTCCAAGCTGAGAGAGCATTGTATGAGCTGCCAGGCCTACAGCATGACCACATTGTTCGCTTTATCACTGCCAGCAAGGGGGCCCCTGGGTCCTTGCACTGTGGGCCCCTGCTGGTATTGGAACTGCATCCCAAGGTGAGGACCTAGAAATGTGCATGTGTGTTTTTACCTACGTGTGAATGGGAATGGAGGCGGAGGGGGGCTGGATGGCAGCTGGGCCCTGTTCATGCTTATTCTTCTGCTTTAGATTTCCTATTCTCTAAAATATTGAAAATTATTTTTCTTGTTTTTTATTATACAAGAAATACCTGCTAATACTTTTTTTTTTTTTTATCCTCACCTGAGGACATTTTTCCATTTTTTGTTCAGATAGAGCGGGAGGGAGAGAGAGGAAGAGAGAGAGAGAGAGAGAAACATCGACGTGAAGGGACACATCGAGTGGCTGCCACCCGCACGACCAACCAGGGCCGGGGACAAACTGCAACCGAGGTACGTGCCCTTAGCGGGAACCGAACCCGGGTCTCTCTGTACCGCAGGCCGACACTCCAACCGCTGAGCCAAACGGGCCAGGGCAATACCTGCTAATACTTAAAAAAAAAATTTTTTTAATCCTCACTCGAGGACATTTTTGCATTTATCTTTAGATAGAGCGGGAGGGAGAGAAAGAGAAAGCAACATCGACATGAGAGAGACACATAGACCAGTTGCCACCCACATGACCCCAGCCGGGGCCAGGGATGAACCGCAAATGAGGTACATCCCTTGACCAGAATTGAATCCTCGACTCATTGTTCCACAGGCCAACGCTTTAACCACTGAGCCAAACCAGCCAGGGCAAAAGAGCTTATTTTCTATACCTTAAAGAAAATCATTGTTGCCCAGCCCGTGTGGCTCAGTGGTTGAGTGTTGACCCATGCACCAAGAGGTCACCGGTTCAATTCCCGGTCAGGGCACATGCCCAGGTTGTGGGCCTGATCCCCAGTGGGGAGCATGCAGGAGATGGCCAGTCAATGTTCCCTCTCATTGATGTTTCTATCTCCCTCTCTAAAAAATCAATTAAAAAAAAGAAAGAAAATCATTGTTAAAGAAATACCTTAAGGCATAGGCCTCCAAATTTATTAATATATTAATTCAATAAATATTTATGAATTTTGTGTGTCAGGTACTGTGCTGAGTGCTAGGAAAAACACACCCAGTCCCTCTCTGCCTTTACAGGTTTTTTGGAGTAATAGGGGACACAGAAATGAGTGAAATAAACATAAAAATAAGTGTAAAATGTCAAGTGTATTAGGTGCTAAAAGGCTGAAAGAGAGGGCCATGGTACTATAAGAGAAGCATAAGGAGATGTGACTTGAGGGGACAACCATGAGCAATAAAGACGAAGAGGAAGAGGTAAGCAGGAGCCAGGCCATAGTTGGCCTTGTGGGCCTACTTAGGACTTGGGACTTTATCAGCACCTACAGCTCCTCCACCTCTGAAATCTTGAATTCTGAGAAGTCCCCTCTTTAACTATATGCCTCACTGTCCATCTCAAAAATCACTTCCTTTTTGGTTTTGTTTAACTTTCCTGGCACACTGAAGGTGCTCAATGTTTGTCAAGTGAGAGACTTGCTCCTTTCCCAGCAATTCCCACTTGCTACCCAACTGCCACTCTCCTACTCAACAGTTCTGTTCATGGGCCAGTTCTACCATACAGGCCTGGCACCTCAAGCCATGAGGGGTGCCCTGGCCTAGCTTGTCCTGTCTTCCCGTTTCTGTTTTTGTCTGAAGTCCTCTGAGGCAATGCAAGGTGGTTAATAGTGAGTGATGCTAGAGTCAGACTGCTTGGGTTCATGCTCTACTTCCCTTTCACCAAGTGACTTCCATCAAGCTTAGCTGTCTGTCAAGCTCCTCATCTGTAAAAAGGGAGCGACAGAAGTACCTACCTCTTAGAGTTATTGTGAGGATTACAGGAGGGCTGGCCCATAGTAAGTGCTCAGGACACTTGAACTAGAGTTATTGTTTTTTCCTGTAAATCCCACTATGCACGTTCTCACACCTCTATTGCCTGTTACTTTGTCCTGGATGTGTCAGTGTGTTGGTCTGCTGAAAGATGCAAGGGGATGTCCGTCAATTGATCACTGCTCTCTGGGGTTGATCAGCCACCTCTAGCTTTGTATGTCCCCCTCTTCTCTCTACTTCTCCCCAGGGTTCCCTGTGCCACTACTTGACCCAGTACACCAATGACTGGGGAAGTTCCCTGCGGATGGCACTGTCCCTGGCACAGGGTCTGGCATTTCTCCATGAAGAGCGCTGGCAGGATGGTGGGTGAGCTGAAAGCAGGAAGCCATGGCAATCAGGAGCCACACTGCTTTTGTTTCTGATTCTCCCTTAGCTTGGAAGGGAAGGATTGGGTCAAAAGAGAAAAGGAAGAAGACCCATGCCCCTTCAACCTTGGATTCTCCCACAGGCCAGTATAAACCAGGTATTGCCCACCGAGATCTGAGCAGCCAAAATGTACTTATTAGGGAGGATGGGTCATGTGCCATTGGAGACCTGGGCCTCGCCTTGGTGCTACCTGGCCTCACTCAGCCCTCCACCTGGGCCCCTACTCAACTCCAAGGCCCAGCTGCCATCATGGAGGTGAGTATTCTGGATAAGGATGAGGCCTAGGATGATGGTGGTGGTGCTGATGAAGATGTGCTCATTGCTGTAGCAACAGTGCAACAGTGTCTATAAGCATTTAGGACATTGCTGAGTCTGTAGTTGGGGGCATGTTGCATGGATCAGTGTTGTTGTGAAGGTTGCCAAGGAGATGATTCTTGGTCCTCCACGCCTTTCTCTCCAGGCTGGCACCCAGAGGTACATGGCCCCGGAGCTCTTGGACAAGACTCTGGACCTACAGGACTGGGGCACAGCCCTCCGGCGAGCTGATGTTTATTCTCTGGCTCTGCTCCTGTGGGAGATCCTGAGCCGCTGCCCAGATTTGTGGCCTGGTAAGGATGGGTGTGACCATCCCCACTCTTCCCCAATGCCTTACCTATCCATTCCAGACCACATGCCTCCTTCCCTTCTTTCCCTTGGTTTTTCCACAAGAAAAGCACCCCTTGCACTAGCTGACACCTAGCCCTGTGTGCTTTCCCCTAGACAGCAGACCACCACCCTTTCAACTGGCCTATGAGGCAGAACTGGGCAGCACCCCCACCACCTGTGAGCTGTGGACCTTGGCAGTAGAGGAGCGAAGACGCCCCTACATCCCACCTACCTGGCACTGCTTTGCCACAGTAAGAGGATACAGACTGATGGGCTGGGGACCTGGAGAGTCTGGGCACGGTCTTCATGGGTTTGTCTGCCAGGACCAGTCCCTCTACTCCTATCTCTTCTTCTCCCACTATTCCTGGCTCGTGTTTAGCTGAAGCCGGGCAAACTTTCACTGTTCCTCAGTTCATCGTCTTCCACCATAAGTCTCATACAGCCCATTCCTGAGACTCAAGCCTTCCCCTTGCTCAGTCTTGCCCAGTCTGTATCTCTCCTCCCTACCATCAGTTAGGCCTATTCTTTAGTCCTCTGCTTCAAGAAGTCCTCCTTTACTTCTGCCCTTAGCACTATTCCCTGGTACACTAGCATCCAGCTTCAATACAATAATTTCTCATTCTGTCCTACGTATCTATGTTTCTAACATGACCAATAAAGCCAGTTCTAGGTATACAAGTTTAAAGCGGTAGCCTAAAAGTGAAATTTCAGGGTTTTGTACAATAGTTTGAACAGGAAACCCCTTCCCCACTACCTAGTCTGAAATAGTTGGCCTGAAATGTCCACTGCCCAAATATTTGCTTTGTTAGATAACAGGCCCAGAGATTGTTTGCAGAAGACCTTTTTTTGCCTGAAAGGAAGGAAGGTAATTTCCCATCAATGTGTTAAGCCATTAGCTAGAATTAGCTTCTCAGAAGAAAGGGTGGACGGACACTTTGGAAGACATGCAGAGAATCTGTCTCAGATTTACAAGATGCAGAGGGCTGGATTTCAGTGAGGAGCAGAGGGGGGTTGCTCCAGGAAGGATCAGAAGAGCAGTGTTGAAAACAGGGCAGAGTGGACACCTTTTAACCCCGGGGACTATTCAGGAGGTGACTCCGGGTCCTGGGATCAAGCCTGCCTCCTGGTCATTATTCCCAGGACCCTGGTGTTCTTAGAGAGCTCCTAGAGGATTGTTGGGATGCAGACCCTGAAGCACGGCTGACAGCTGAGTGTGTACAGCAGCGCCTGGCTGCCCTGGCCCATCCTCAGGAGGCCCACCTCTTCCCAGAGGGCTGTTCATGTATCTTCCCACCTCTCTGCCCAGAAGACTGTCTCTCAACTCCTCCCCATCACCATTCTCCCTTGTAGGCCTCAGCTGAAAATCTGCCACTTCAGCAAGGCCCTTGTTCCAGGATTCTCAACCTACCAGTACCATTTCTCATGTGTAAATATGAAGTTTATGTGTAATCTATGTATGTGCAAACATAGATGTGGTGATCATATGCCTGTTTGCTCTGCTTCATCACTGCCTTTTCCACTTGCCAACTGCTTGGATCCTTCTGTGGGTATCTAGTCCACTGTAGTTCTGACCAGTGACAGAGGGCCTGTGCACAGGAAAGAGATCCAGTCAGTTTTTCTGATTCCATGCCCTTAGGTCATCCTCCCTTCTTGTGTCCCTGGGCTCCTCTGGGCTCTCTTCTTTTCCTTCACCTCCACAAGCCTTTATTTGGTGGGATCCCTTGACGAGCACTGGGGAACGAGGGATGAACGCAATGAAATTGCTGCTCTGAAGATCTAATAGACCCACAAATCACTTTTTTGGGGTCCTGTACAGTGTCCTGGGGGGGTGTCCTCTGCTGAGGCTTGAGTGGGGAGACCTCACAGCACAGGATGCTTGAGCTGGGTCTTGAATGAGCAGGAGTTTTCCAGGAGTGTTGGGGGCAATACGGCATTCCTGGCCCAGTAGGTGTATCATGCAAGAGATACAACAAGAAACTGCAGTTAACCTGAGCAGCAAACATGTGGGGTGTGTAGCAGGAAGAGAGAAAGGTGATGTGGAGAACTGTAGGCAAGGCTTTGTGAGTCATGCTGAGAAATTCTTCCTTCATTTCTTTGTTTGTGTTTTCTCTACTGACTTTTCTTTCCCACTCCAGGCCTCTTTAATACTGGGTGCCCCTCCAGGTCAGACCAGTTACCCGTGCCTGGTTTATAACCCTGGCTCAGTTTATAACTATTCAAGTGCCCTTGGGCAAGTTCCTCATCTGCCAAAACAGGCCTTTTTGTCTTTTTCTAGGGCTCAGGTTCCTCATCTGCCAAAACAGGCCTTTTTGTCTAATCCCAGAATAACAATCAGGGAGCCCTGACTTCACTACCACAGTATTGCTTCCTGCTCAGTGACCAACTAGTCTATGTCCTTGGGCAAGTGACTTAACCCTTGGAATCTCAGTTTTACCATGTGTAAAGTGTGGAGAAAAACACTTACCGTACTTACAGGGTCAATTCAGTGTGAAAAAAAGGTGACAGGTCTTACACAGCACCTGGCCTTAGTAAGCTTTGTAAATGGCAGAAAATGTGATTGAGCGTTAAGATGATCTCTAGCCCCTTTCTAGCTTGGTTGTTCTAGAGTTCCAAGATTAGCCTCTGGGGAGCCCATCTACTCTCAAACCTGGAAATTTCACCTTCCTTCAGACCCAGGTCTCTAATTCTCTACAAGACATCATTATTTGAACAGGCAGCCACCACCTGAAACTAAACACATAAAAATCCAAGCTCCCCCTCACCAACAGGTCTGCCTTCCCTTCTTCCCTGACTCTCAAAGACACCAAGTTTCTCTTGGTCCTAGAAGATCCCCATAAGGAAGATGTTCTTCTCCCGTCCGCTGGCCCCATCTCATCCCACCCATATCTAGTCAATTCTCAGGCCCCATTGAGGTTGTATGAGCAAAACCTGCTTCTGGGCACCATTCCCCTTTCCTTCCTCCTAGGTCTGGTAGCCTCAACTACTGCAATTGCCTCTTGGCTGCATCCTTTTCCTCCACTCTCTAAATAATCTTTAAATGTAACTTTGCACTATGTTTTGCCTCTGTGTAACAGTCTATTTGCCTGTTTTATGATAATCCTGTGAGCCCCATTTACAGAGAAGAAAACCAAGAGCTCAGAGAAGTTTAGGGATGTGTCTAAGGTCACACAGTTCTTAAGTAACAGAGCAGGGATTTTCATATCTAAATATAATGTTTTTAAAAAATCCTTGCCTGAGGATATTTTCCCATTGATTTTTAGATAGAGTGGTAGGGAAGAAAGGAAAGAGAGAGAGAGAGAAAGAGAGAGAGAGAGAGGTGAGAGAGATACATCTTTCAGTTGCCTCACACATGACCCTGACCGGGGCCGGGGATCGAACTTGAAACCAAGGTACATGCCCTTGATGGGGAATTGAACCCGCAACTGTTTGGTCCTTGGACCAACACTCTACCTGCTGAGCCAAACCGACCAACGCTAAAAACAATGCTTATAAAAATGCCATAGTCCGGCCGATATGGCTCAGTGGTTGAGTGTCGACCCATGCACCAAGAAATAACCAGTTCGATTCCCGGTCAGGGCACATGCCCAGGTTGTGGGCCCAATCCCCAGTGGGGAATATGAAGGAGGAAGCCAACTGATGTTCTGTCTCATCAATGTTTCTATCTCTCTTTCCCTCTCACTTCCTCTCTCTAAAATCAATACAATTTTTTAAAATGCCATAAATTATTAGAAATGAATAATGTCATTTGCAAAGAATATACAGACCTATGCTGACAAGCATAGGGTTATGTTAAATAAAAAATAAATCTAGCCCTGGCCGGTTTGGCTCAGTGGTTAGAGTGTTGGCCTGTGGTCTGGAGAGACCCAGGTTCGGTTCCCGCTAAGGGCACATACCTCGGTTGCAGTTTGTCCCCGGCCCTGGTTGGGTTGTGCAGGTGGCAGCCATTCGATGTGTCCCTTTCACGTCGATGTTTCTCTCTGTCTCTCTCCCTCCCACTCTATCTGAACAAAATATCGAAAAATGTCCTCGGGTGAGGATTAAAAAATAAATAAATAAATAAATAAATAAATAAAATAAAAATAAATAAATCTAGCCCTGGTCGGTTTGCTCAGTGGTTAGAGCATTGGCTTGCAGACCAATGAGTCCCGGGTTTGATTTTGGCCAAGGGTATGTACCTCCGTTGCAGTTAGTCCCCAGCCCCAGTTGGGGTCGTGTGGGTGGCAACCAATTGATGCATCTCTCTCACATTGATATTTCTCTCTCTCTCTCTCTCTCTCTCTCCCTCCCTCCCACTCTGTCTGAAGATGGATGTAAAAATATCCTCAGGTGAGGATTTAAATAAATAAATCTATAATCACAAGAAAAACAAATCCCAACAGAGGGGACTTTTACAAAATACCCTTTCAGTACTCTTCAAAAGTATCAAGATAATCAAAAACAATATGCATAACTAATGAACACAGACAATTGGTGAAGGCAGGCAGGGGGGCACTGGAGCGGGGAGGAGGGTGTCAATGGGAAGGAAGAAAGGAAGACATCTGTAATACTTTCAACAATAAAGATAAATTTATTTTTCAAACAAAGATAATCAAAAACAGCCCTGGCTGATTTGGCTCTGGTTAAAGCGTTGGCCTGTGGTCCGGAGAGACCTGGGTTCGGTTCCCGGTAAGGGCGTGTGCCTTGGTTGCAGTTTGTCCCTGGCCCTGATTGGGTCGTGTGGGTGGCAGCCACTCGATGTGTCCCTTTCACGTCGATGTTTCTCTCTCTCTCTCTCCCTCCCACTCTATCTGAACAAAATATCAAAAAATGTCCTCGGGTGAGGATGAAAAAAAAAAAGATAGCCCTGGCCGGTTTGGCTCAGCGGTTAGAGCATCGGCCTGCGGTCCGGAGAGACCCGGGTTCGGTTCCCGCTAAGGGCATGTACCTTAGTTGCAGTTTGTCCCCGGCCCTGGTTGGTCATGCGGGTGGCAGCCACTCGATGTGTCTCTTTCACGTCGATGTTTCTCTCTCTCTGTCTCTTCCTCTCTCTCCCTCCCACTCTATCTGTGCAAAAAATGGAAAAATGTCCTTGGGTGAGGATAAAAAAAAAAAGATAATCAAAAACAAAGTCCAAAAAACTATCACAACTAGGAGGAGCCTAAGGAGACATGATGACTAAATATAATCTGATATTCTGGGAAAGAAAAAGGACATTGGGTAAAAACTAAAGAAATCTGAGTAAAGTTAATCATCATAAGTTAGGCCTGGCCAGTTTGGCTCAGCAGTAGAGCGTTGGCTGGCGGACCAATGAGTCTCAGGTTCAATTCCGGCCAAGGGCACGGACCTCAGTGTAGTTCCTCCCTGGCCCTGGTTGGGGTTGTTCAGGAAGCAACCAGTCGATGTGTCCCTCTCACATTGATGACTTGCTCCCTCCCTTTCTCTCCCTCTCCCTCCCTCCCATTCTATCTGAAAATAAATGAAAAAATATCCTTGGGTGAGGATTAAAAAAAAAAATCACAAGTCAGTATTGATTCATTAAAGTGCAAACATACCATACTAATGTAAGATATTAATAATAGGGTACTGGGTGTGGAGAATATTAAAGCTCTGTATCAATTTTTCTGTAGCTCTAAAATTGTTTTTAAAAATAAAGTTAATTTTAAAAATCCAAAACGACTATGATCATCTCCAAAGCTTCAGAGGCCATAAATACAAGGAACAAGGGGATGGTTGTGGTAAGCATTACAATGTTTACTTGCAGTAATTTTGAATGGGTGTATTGTAATATGGTGTATTGAAGTTATCACTAACATAGAAGCCAGAAAACCTAGATTATCATCTTGGCTCTCCTAACTGTGAACTCCTAGAAAAGTTTATTTAATATTGTAGGAAGTTGAATAAATGATTCTCTGTCATTTCCAACCCTCTAATTCTATGATGAAATAGGATTACTTCACCAAATCCAGTGTTTGCCTAGTTCAATGGTTCTCAACCTTCCTAATGCCACGACCCTTTAATACAGTTCCTTATGTTGTAGTGACCCCCAACCATAAAATTATTTTCGTTGCTACTTCATAAATGTAATTTTGCTACTGTTACGTCTTAGGCGACCCCTGTGAAAGGGCCATTGGACCCCAAAGGGGTCGACCCACAGGTTCAGAACTGCTGGCCTAGTTTGTATTGCCATGATTAGTGATTCCATGCTCATGGAGAGGCAATACACATGTAAATAAGCTCTTTAGAAAATTGAAAACATAAATCTATGAATAGAGGTGGATTTATGGGTGAAAAAATGTGTGGCTTGCCCTGGCCGGTTTGGCTCAGTGGTTAGAGCGTCGGCCTGCGGACCAATGAGTCCCGGGTTCGATTCC